AAATTTTACAGAATTCCGATTCCATCATCGTTGCATTCATCTTAATGGGCCAATTTAAAAGATTTTTTTTATGGTGAAAAATAAAGAGAAATCACCTGAATAGACCTGGAAAATACTCACCCTGGCCTCAGACTATTGATTCTGCTACTGATTCTCCTAAAAACAGCGTTAAGCGGTTGGCAGACGGCCCTCCACAGTGATGCCTGTTCCCAGCCTGAAGGATATGGAGAATTAACATGTGAACTTCTAGACATGTGGTGGTAGTATCAGTGATTCATACTTGAAAGGTAGCTCAGCGATTCTTCTATAATATATCTCTCTATCAATCTACTTACCTAGTGAATTAAAAATCATACAGAATTAAAATTTTATAATATTCTGCCTGATTCTTTAGGTATTTTCTAAAATCGGTGCCGTCAGGTCCAACTTAGTGGCAGATCACTAAAGTTGTAAGCAGGGTGGATATAAACATAAAATAGGCCACATGCATATCACTCTAACATTTCCTTTCCACATTCTGATGGAAACATGTCTCACAGAAACTCAGATGCCTTGACTTCTGAGGTGTGATGATACCAGCTGCACAACCACCTGTGAAAAACATTCGGTGATCTTTGTTTAAGACAAAGGTAGGTGTTACTGGAAAGCAGGCGCCTGCCTCATGGCGGAGTGTCTCCTGGGCGGCCGCTGGCTTGTAACTAGTTGGTACGTTGTTCCGAAACATGGAGGGCGCCCTTGTCCAGTGTTTTTTTCTTTTCTTTTTTGCAGTTAATAGATTTTCCTATCCTTCTTTGTAGCTAAACACATCCAAATAGTGGAAGACATGTAAAATACCGCACAGTATGTGCAAAGTGGTCACCTGGAAAGGGTCAAAACAGGCCCCCTTCTAATAATGTGTGATTTGGTCACATAACTTTATAATTTTCATATTTTAACAGAGACTTAAAAATAAGTGTCTCAGCCGGGTAAGATTCCTCAAGGGAGGAACAACCTAAGACAGGCACAGTCTCATGGGGGCCATGAGGAGAGAAATTGGGGACCAACAGAGATGAGGCTTAGAACCTCACCCCCCTGCTTTGAGAGAAATCTCCTGCATCCGTGGATGTTTTGTTGCCCTTGTCTAGCTCGGATTAGCACATAGTCTACAGGCACACACCTGATCATCTACATTTGCTCTCTTACAGCACTAAACTATGTTTTCTACCTTTATCTTGCATCTACCTACCACTTAAGCATTTTATTAAAAA